GTCCTTCCCAAGGACCTGGGATAGGCAGATGTTGTTGTTTGATGGTGTTAAAAGTATCGTCACAGAATGTAAGTTGTTCCAAGTAAAGTTGCCTTTTGCAATTGACTGATGGTGATTTTGTCAATGTCGATGGTCTTCAAGTGGTGCTCCAGATGTTTTGGGATTGCCCCTAAGGCGCCTATTACTATAGGTACTATATTTGTTTTCTTTTGCCATGTTCTATTCCTATTTGCAGGTCTTTGTATTTTGTGATTTTCTCCAGTTCTTTCTCTTCTATTCCGCTGTCTCCAGGTATTACAATGTCCACTATCCAGACTTTCTTATTAACAGTTGTTAAATTTGGGGTGTTGTGTGGTAGGTGCTTGTCTGTTTGAATTCTAAAGTCCCAGAGCACTTTAGTTTCTCCATTTTCTATTACTTTGTCCCACCAGTTCTTGCTTGCAGGCAAATGGTATTTCTTGCAGATATCCCAATGAGCCATTGTTGCTACTTTGTCATGCTGTTCTTTGTAGTCAGTCTATGCGATCTTCTTGCAGCAGCTAACTAGGCGGTCCACTGTTTTTTCAGCTTCTTTGCAGAGGTGGCATTTGCTGTCTGTTGCTGTCTTCTTGATTCTGGCTTTATATGCATTTCTTATTATTATTATTATCATTGTCATTGTTATTGTTATTATTTAAAAAACTAAGCCCAGAACAGAAATAAAAGAATACTGTATCATTTGAATTTGAATACTGTATAGAAATACACTTAAGCTAGTGGAGTTATTTTGACACATGGTCCACAAAAATTCCCAAGCATCTCTTATCCTTTTCAGAGGGAAATACAGTAACAACAACAACAACAATATAAAATAGGAATGCATCAGCTGGTTTTTCATGGCATCCAACATCTGCTGCCTGAGGTTACCACCTCACTCTGCCTAATGGTAGGGCCAACCACTTGTAATGCCTTTACATATACATATATTTGAAGGGTCATTAATGGTATCTGGAAATAACTACACTCTGATTCTTCAGTCTTAAGTATATGCTTCCCCAGTAGCCTTCTCAAAAAATAGCTAAGGGAACAATTACACTAACCATTCTTTGGTTGGGCCAACTTCAGATTTGAAAGTTAGCAAAGTGGTCACTTACTTTTCCTGTGGCAATGAGCTCCTGAACATATGTTTAATGGGCAGCATTAGCACACAGCCAGGAATTGCTTTATTAAATTTCCCAGTGTCTCTAAGGCAGATTTGCTCCAGGGCAGTGTTATAGATTTAAAATGGTGTTTCTAAAACGTAACTGTAAACCACTGGGAAAAATAGCAACAACCTCCCCCAATACTGTAACAGCATTTACCCCGCCACCACCACTCATATCTCAAATATTGAGGACAGACTTCCAGGTGAATAGGCTTAATACTCTGGGGTCGGGGTGGGGCTGCATGTTATAAAAATAGTCCAAAGAAAACCCAACTCCAAGATACTCATATTTGAGTTTAAAGCTGTGCCTGCCGGATGGAGGATATGAGGACAAAAAGGAAGGCATGTCCTCCTTTTGCTGGACACCTGGTAACCCTACCTAGGACTCATCTGCCTTTCAATTGATAAGGAGTCTTCCCGCTGGAAGAACTAAATCCAAGTAAAGTTCAATCCTAGGACGTCTTATTTTAAAAATGACAGCACTACAATTTCTATTGTTATACTTTCCTCTTGACTTTATGTGCTTTCAGGTATCATTCTTGCCTTTGTCTCTGATATGGATAGAGTCTTAGCAGGTGGCAACACCTTGGCTGAGGCTAGGCAGGGTAAGCCCTGATAAGTATTTGGATGGGAAACAGTCTGGGAATTTCAGGACAGTTGGCTAGATAGGGCAGCTGAAAAAAACACCCCAGAAGAAAGCAGTAGCAACTCACCAAGCCAAGTAAACACTGCAACAAAACAGTGTATGGAGACCAGGTCGACTTGCAGATGTCTGTATTTTACAAGTAAGGATAGTGGCTAGAGGTGAACACGCTAAATGGGGAGCCCTTCCTCTTTTTCCTCCATAAAGAGCCACCCAGAGTCACCCTCTGGGGGAGATGGGCAGCATACAAATTTAATGAACAAACAAACAAACTTGTTACTGGTGCAGTCCTATAGCACTCAATTTGGATTTATTCTCAGGGAAAACCAGGAGTCACAGTTCCTAGTCGTTTTATACTGTTGTCATAAGGACTGTTGAGAAAATGAGTACATAATGTCCTGAACACTCCAAAGTGATATGGAAATTCTAATAACTTCTTGGCATTCAAAGCTTGGCTTGTTGAGAGGAAAATACTGTTAACTGGCAACTGCTCTGTTCCATACCACACACACGAGGATCTGATTCCTACATTATGTCAGCATGGAGCACTGTCTCTTCCTTAAAGCATGAGCTAGCATGATTAGCCCCTTCTTCCCAGAGGCTTCAGGGACCTGCATTAACTTGTAACCAGTTTAATTGATCTACTAGAACGGTAGCAAGAAGGTACCACCCTTAATTTCCCAAACGCAGGCTGCCAGCACTCTTGATCTTTCTTTAATTTATTCAGGAATTACAACTGATTTCTGCTACATTTAAAATGCATGTTTTAACAGGTAGTGCCTGCAGAACATTGTTTGAATAGTACCTGAAGTTTTTAATGGTGAAATTTGCACACCATTTCAAATAGTTGCTCTGCTGGTGTCAGTGCACTGATACAGGCACAAGTGGTATGGCAAAATTTAATAGTAACAACATCTGCTGTAGGAATAGTAAATGTTAATATAATGGAATGTCTACTCCAAGAATAGTATGCAGTTTTTCAAAAACAAAAAACTGCATATACATACTTCACAAGCTACATTGCAAATGGGTATGGAATCAAAGTTAGCCTATTCATGTTTGTTCATATGAGATTCCCTCTCCGGGCCTCTAGTTTGGGCCTGTGCTAATTTGGAGTCTATGTATCATGTGTTGGGCACTCAAATTTGGTTGGGATGTCACCAGTGTACCTGCAGCAGCCTTCGTGAGTAGGTAGTAGCATTTTCAATATTGGGACTCTCAAGCTGATTATCCTGAGGGACCTGCAATAGGACTTCCTCATCGAGGGCAGCTCTGCCATCACAGACATAATTATCTTGACTTGCAATCAACCCAGACTGAATCAGGACTACTTTGAACTTTGTTTTCTCAGTTGGACAGGTCACTAGTGATCTGCAGATATAGATTTCTATTCATTAGTCATGGTTGGATCACCGCCTATTGAAGTTTAATTTCTCAGTGGCGTTCTCCCTTTACAAGGATGGGTGGCCTATTGAAACTAGAGACTGGTGGATTGAGAGATTTTCTGGATGATACAGTTGTGATTTTGTTATTTATACTGGGTGTGTCTATGTGTATGGATAGTTTCATCTCCACACACTTGTGAATATTTTTTTTAATTGCCTCAAAACAGGAGTAGGCAACCCCTGAACCCCATTTATATGGCCCTTGAAGCCTTTTCTGACCATGATTCCTGAACACTGATAGTATTGTTATGTATAGGAGGCTAATAGTGTTGAAAAACTATAGTAATTGAAGTGTAATTAGTTCAAATTGTACTTGTTGCTCTTGTTGGTATTTACAAGGAAATCACCAGTTTTTCTGGTCTATGCCCTGGCACAATTCAGGTTCTTTGGAGAACATAGGGGCTCAAGTACCACCTGCCAGCAGTACCCTAAAGCAGCTGCATCATTTCCTGGGATTGTGCAGTTGTCATCCACAGCTACAATGCGATCCTGGGAAAAGATACGTTTGGCTTAAGAAGCTGTAAACAGGTGCTACACACTCTGAAGTACTTTTTCCTTAGAGTCCAAAGTGTTGCAGAATCCTAATAGGTACTTGAAAGAATACATGCTGTTATTTGTTCAATGAAGTCATCTTCATTTCTCCATATGTTCCTACCAGCTGAGGGAAATCAGTTGGTAACTTACAGCTTTCTTAGTAGTTCCCAAATAAATTTTCTGTGTTAAGTCTTTGACCCTGTCTATTCTTGCTGACAAGTTTATTTCCTGCTGGAAAATAGTGAAAGCCTGTGATTTGTGCTTTTGCAGCTTCACATCCCAATCCTTGTTAATTAGAGAAAGCTGTGTTAAAGATCAGAGAGTCCTTGACTTGGACCTGCACAACAAAGCTTTTGACTATTAGTGTGGGGGCCTTTGTATTACACCTTTTGCCATCCCCAACTGTTCCACTAATATACTCCCAATCTCACATCAAAGGGTATTTACACTAGTGAGATTTAATACCTTACACTTAAAGGGCAGGCTCAGCAACATCCCGTATTCAGAGTGCCTCTGTGCTTGGATGAAGCCATCAAGGAAGCCTTGCTCACTTTGCCATACTATCCCTTGTTCCACTCTTAGCACTCTGAATGAATATTCCCTCGGAACTGGCCTAAAATAGAGGTAGTATATTTTCTACTAATATGTCAGACTATTGAAATTTCTACAAAAGTTGTATTGAAATGCAGTTGGTGTGAAGCTGCTGGTTTGAATTACCCTTAGGCTCAAATGGTCTGGTTATATATTGGTTCTAGAAAATTAATACTTTTTAATGTTTACCACCATTTCCATTTCCCTAATGTGTTGATTTTTTTTACTTTCTTTATAGTGTGTGTGTATCTTTTAATCTTTGACAATAAATTCAGTAAATAAAGTAGTTCAATTCCATATATTCACGGAATTTCTTCTCCAGAAAGGCTCAGAAACAGTATTAACCTTTCAGATGCAATGCATTTATTCTATTAGATTTTTCAATATATTTTAATATTTATTTCTCTTAATAATGTTGTATTTTATTTAGGTATTAATAAGTTAAGCTGGCCACACTGGAATGTATTTTAAAGGACTTTTAATTTTTTTACATATTCTTGCTATTTTGTTTAGCTTAGTATTCTAGATCTATGGTTCTATTTTTCTTCTTTGTTGTTATCCATTTTAGCCTTTGATGCCTTTAATTGAATGAATCATGCTGCCTTTGCTCTGCTTTATATGGTTGTAAATTTTTTGTATGTCACCTTGAGAGCTATTATTTATAGGCTCTTAATACCTCTTAGAATTAAATAACCAATATGCAAATCTTTCAAGTGCAGGCATAAATGATTATCCAGAATTGTCAGGATATGGTGCCAAATTAATTAGCCTGCAAACAGATATGCCCAAAAGACTATCCAGGCTAGGATTCACATTTGGAAGGAATGGATCCAGCATTAGTAATCCAGTCAACTGTATATATAAAAAAGTAATCCGTAATGCAAACTCCTTGCTGTAGCATTGCTAAAGCTTGCCTAGAATATTATAGCACCACCTGCTGGAGATTGTGCACAAAATACAGTGTATCCATACCTAAATAAGGTAGGGAAAGCAAGCAGAGCAGAGCTTCTAAATTTTTTTTCCAACCCCTTTACCACAGGGAGCATCTGCACTTTTGTGTAGCTAAGTAATGTGTCTCATCTGTGTGAGGATAAGTATCTGGCGTCATGTTGTATCTGTGTGAATACTCTGCTCTGGGTCACATGGTCAGTGGGGAGGGCTTAGAATGGAACAGCTGCCAACATTCTGAGCTACTGGCCAATTGCCTCCCCACACAAAACTAGTTTCTGTAGCACCTGGGCTGATTCAGCCCATTTGCAAACATCTTTGCCAGCTTCTCCCCACCAAATTTGGTCCTGTTGCGTTCAGTTTTTGAAGAGCTGTTCTGCTGACAGTCAGTCCTGAGTGCCTATTCTGCTGAGTGGAAAAACAAAATAAAAATCAAGGCTCCTATATAAACAAGGATTAGTTCTGCAGTCATTCTGGGGGCTAGGAAACAAAGCTGTTACTTTCTCCCTAGCAGATACTGTACTAATTCAGAAAGGAATGCATGACAAACTAAGGGATGGTACTGCCAGATTTATTTTAAAGTTTAAAATATGGGCATAAATTGTTAGGTTGCCAAATTTTTCTAGGAGGGTCTGTTTTCCTTTTTCACAACGTTAATGATTCCCACCATGCACAGACATGATCCCTCAAATTATCCTTTATTCCTGGGATTTCCCTCAATTATAATTGACAATTTGTCAAAACCTTAACATTCCATACCTCAAGCCATTCTTCGTACAGGGACTTCTCTTTATTCACCCTCCCCCCCCCCAATTTCTTGAGTGCCTCCAACCAAATTTTTGTAAGAATAACTTTATTAGCCCTCCAGAATCACCATGGGCACCCATGTAAATTGAATGAATACATAGATAAATAACACTGTACTGTTAGCATACATAATGGTAGCTGTAATCTGAGTACTTCAGCATTGACTGGACAGGAAGCTACACCCTAGCTGGGCTCACATCATGGATATGCATGAAATTAAAACATTTTGAATTTTGTTCTGAACTCAGAGTAAACCATTGCATTCCAGGTTTTGTTTCTCCAAATAGTTTGGCAGCCAAACAGTTTGGCAGCTCCCAGAGTTCCCAGCCTTTTGGTATATTGGCTTGAAATGTTGGGAGTCACAGCCCCAGTACAGTATTTCTGGAGAGCAGCAAATTGGGAAAGGCCAGTCTACACTACAACCACCCACGTGGTTTCTTTCAATAGTCATAAAAAAATAAAACATGAAGCAGAGAGGAGACTCTCTCAGAGAAGGACGTCTAGATTAATCTAAGAATCCTGGTGTTTACATGATGCAAGCAAATGTTGATACCTTCTAATTTTTCTGTAATGTCTCCTTGTTTCTCCTGCATGAGCAGCATATTTTTGTCTATTTAATTTGTAATTTCACAGTTGCAAAACTGTTAGTGATCAAGAGATACATAACTTTAGTTATGAAAGTAAAATAACTGCAACAGATTTATAATTGAAATCTGCCAATTATAGCATTTAATGTACTAATTGTTCCACAACAGGAATTGGCAAACCTGTTGAAAATTTCCTAAATGACATGGCAGAGATACACAGAGCAAGAAAAGTGTTTCATGATTCTGTTGTGGTGCCTGTGGTGTAATATATAGATGGAGCTAAAAGTTATCCACAGTAAATCTAAAAAGAGGTAACTGGGTGAAAAATGGATATAGAGTTCTTTCTACACAGTTCTATAATCAGTCAATGACGGAATGAGGTGTGTGAAGTACAAATATATTTGCTTCATAAACCAAGTGTAAAATCTGAAAATAAAAAACTACTATATATTTTTCATGAACCTAATATTGCAGTACCTCCAAACAACTTGTATTTTGTTTAAATGTATTATTTAGTGTAATGCAGTAACCCACCGTAAGTTTATTGTAACATGAAAAATTCCACATCCTGGAAAGGGAGCTATTCAGACTTCGTAAGCATTGTGCACTTTGGCTTTCTTTTGTTTTAATCCTTCTGATGAAATGACCCATGTTCAGAAACAAGCTGTTTCACAATGATCTAGCCCAGAGTTTCTCAACCTTAGCAACTTTAACATGGGTGGATTTCAACTCAGTGCTGGCTGGGGAATTCTGGCAGTGGAAATCCACCCATCTTTAAAGTTGCTGAGGTTGAAAAGCCCCATAAGTATACACCCTTACAGTCATGTGAATGGCTCTGACTTACTTCACTATCTCAGGTGTTAATCATTCTTTCAATTCAAGATAGAAAAAGTAGATCACTCAGTATTCAGTTCCAAATCCAAAAGAAGTTCTTATTGTGGTATTAAATTAACAGACCATTTTAAATATTTCCATTCCTTAATAGACTTTAATATCTCCTGCACAAACTGTACAAAATATTTACTTTCATAAATAAATAAACATACAAATTCCATAGAGTTTTTTTTAGTGGGGATGATATAGCACGGGGTACCATTTAATCACTGGCCAAAACTTGGTTCAAAAAGTTCCCTTTAAATAAAGCTGTGTGGGAAAGATAAAGATGGACAAACATACCATTAACAAAGGAGAAATAATTAACATCCAAAGCAAGCTGCAGTGATGCCAAAATGACAGTTCATGTGCAATGAGGCAATCATGAAAACACTATGGATACATACTTGTGCCAGGACATCTAACACAAGTATGTAAGTTGCAGGTTTTGTGTGATTCCATCATCATGCATCATTATTCATCCACCTTGCTGCCCCACAGACACCTGTGCCTCTCCCCTAACAGAGTTCCAATACAAACAAAGTTTGTGAATATTCAGGACCTATCAGTGATGGGCACATAACAATAATGGAAGTGTGTGAATCCATTACCTAGTGGATTCTTTGTTAGCCCATCTCAAAAGTAAAAAGAAAGTTTCTGATAACCATATTGATTTAAACCAGGTTGGTTGCTGGTACATGAGTATTTTGGATAGAAGCTGAAGATAATGCGGTATCATGGGACAGAATTACACAGAACTGATATGGTTCATGAATTTATCTTCTTTCATCCAACATTAATCCACCAAATGTTAGCAAGAACAATCTTATCACATTTATGTTTCATAATTCCAACTGTGCAGCAATTCTGCCACATAATGGAACAGATTTAATCATAGGACAGCCAAGATGGACATAGATTATTATAAAACCCACAACTATCTGTCCAGTATATTCATAGTGACAGTTCCACTAGTTCATATCCCTGGATAATTTGTTCAAAATGCAAAAACAAGAATGGGTTAATGCTGAAGTTCAAACTGTAATGTGATTAGATTTTGTTTTGGCATATTTTATTACTCAGTAATGAAAACTGCTAACTCATAGTTTATGGCTTATTGTTTCTGTGAACACAACTAGTTGCGCCTTATCCGGTAAATTATGGTCAAACCACCATGACTAAATGCGATGAATGAACCCAATTTATATTTTTAGGGATTGGTTTTGTATGAAAAGATGGTTTGGATGGTTTGTCAAGCTTTTTGTGCAGGCATCTCTGCCAATATATTTTCAGCCACTCAGCTAGTTCCTACATCAACTTCCCCAAGCTAGACCCCTCTAATTGTGTTGTACTTCCATATTCTCTCTCCCTTCCCATCCTAACACTTCAGGCTAAGCCAAGCATGTGAATCTAACCTGAACTGGAAAGACTACAAGGAGCCTATAGCACAGACAAAAACTCAAATGGCGTATCACTTTCAGAGACCCATATTAAAAAAGACACCGTCATCCCTGATATCAGCATGGTTGGCTATAAAACTGGCTATACATATTTTGTACTTGAGACTGCCTACCACCGCAGATCTAGTGAGAGCCATACCACCTTTTGAAGCTGGAGTTTTGCTGTTGAAGGGCTGAGTTTTCTTGGAGAGCTGTGATCTTTTGCTACATAGTATGGGGGACAAGAAAAAAACCCACTGGGGAATGGCCAGATTCCGGATCTTCCTGGCCAGATTTCTGGCCGCCTTAGATGTTGCAGAAGGATTCTGGGAACAGCTAATGTCCCTCTTTGGCATAGAGGTTCCTGGCCTACAGTGAGGGTTCTCATAATATAAAGACCAATATAACTGATTTCCAAGTGACTAAAATTTTCTCCAGCCCAAAATCTGGGCTGTTTCCACATAAGCCCCTTTCTCTATCTGAAAGAATCTTTCTTTCTGTCTTTGTCTCTCTCCTTGAATTCAGATTCAAATTCAAATTTATTATTTTTCTAATTTAAAATAAATCTAATTTTCTCATTTTTGTTTTCTTTCTCCAGACCCAATTTACAGCAATAAATGATACTGCAGTTATCAATCAGCCCGGAACAATGTAGACAAACAAAATGCTACTGAGGCTTTGCAAGCTCTCCTGTGTCTTTTAACTAAAATTTCCTTTAGGTTATTGCTTTCTCTAGTGGGAATTAGTGATGAATTTTCTTTTATTACTCCCTTCTACAGCCTCTCTTAATTGGTCCAGTAGCGCTCTTAGGCTATGAAGAAGAAAAGAACCCCATGTAAGGAAACTAATAAACAAAGGGCATTCCTACCAAGACAGGAATTTGGGCACCTGGATGCCTTTTAAGGAGCAAAAAGGTTCAGTGAAAATGGGCAGAATCTTTAATACCAATCACTAGATTCACTGCTCTGGAAAAATGTCTATTTGAGTCTTCCCAAATCAGATTCAGGACACTGACACTTCCTATCTATGAAATATTTTTTTGTTATTTAGACGAGATAGGATGAAACTGCCCAGAATTTTTGCCATCCCAAAACATCTGAAAGGTGTCAGGTTAAGAAAAGCTGAAGTATCTCCTTTTGAAAGGCTATAGTTTGCATATTCTCAGAGAAGTTGAGGCAAAGATAATGAAATTAGACTTCTTTAAATTCTGATTTAAATTTTTAGACAGAAATATATTACATTTGTTGGAAAACAATCCATTTGCCTCATGGAACCATAAACTGGGTCTGAAGCACATACTTACTTGGGAAAGACCTTTGCTAATGTGAGTAAATGTTATGGAAGGACCATCATATAATATACAAATGCTTATATTGGTCAACTGTTTAAGCAATACCTCAGTAGCACTAAAGGGCTCTCAGTGACAATAATCCAGGATGAGCTATTGCTATCTGATCATGCAAGGAGGTGACACTGATGACTAGTACAATGTCTGCCATCATTTAAAGCATGAAACCATGTTAGGAACACATATCAAATACTGTGTTTTTTCAATAGCCCTCTACTTATGGCATCAGAAAAAAACACATGGTTGGACAATAGTCTCCTTCACCTGCAATCTGCTTGATGGATGGGAATGCTGAGTTATAATCCAACACATCTGAAGAATATCAGATTGCCAATGTAATAGCAATGTATTCAGTTTTGCTTTTTACTTTTCCTCTTCAATTTACATCTTCTCCTATTCTAGTTCTGAAAGATAGCTCTCCAATCTTTTTTCCTCCTACAGCATTTTGCCCCTATTTTTGTTTTACAACTTTACTCCTTCCACTCAGAATAAATTAAATTGCAAGAATTAATTAAATTTCAAGAATTACCAGAGGAGTTAAGTCTGTTCCTCATCCACATCAGTTCCCTCCCTCTAACATAACAAAGATGACTGCATTCACTAGATATCCAGTTAGTGTGAGCCTATAGCAGAGGACTTTGTGGATAAATGTTGTCTTTCACAGGATTTAACTGACCAGCTTCTTCAGGCTAAGCATTTGCATTAGTTAAAACTGCTAAAGATATTGAACACTTGCAGGATTCATCCCTTTGAATAAAAATACTTTTCCTACAGGGGCCTTTGGCACAGTTCATCTAGCAGTTTCTTAATGGATTCTTGTGACAAACTACAGTCTGGTTAACACAATAATTTGGCAAGACTGCAGCACACTAAGGCTGACCAAAGAGCATGGATTAAGTAGGCTTCAGGGCCTATATGACTGTCTCAACAATTACCTCATAGGTCAAAATGCAAAAAGGGCCAAGTTAGAAATGACCAACTGATGTTTATATCAAACTGAGGGCTTCAACAGATACAATATGAAACAGCCATCTGAGGAAGCTCCACAATTCTGAGACTTCGGGAGTGGGAAAAGGTATTCATTCTTTCTCTCTCTTTGATAACCCAAACCCAAACCCTCAACCCAGAAAAATAATCTCGTTACAATAGTTATCTACATTCTAAGAAGAGACCATCAATGGAAGCTTTGCTTGAAATGCAACCTGCAACTTTGGTGACACCATTTTTCTTGACGGTATAGAAGACAGACAAAAAACTACCTCTTTCCCATCCCAAATTCTAGAATCCTAATGCTTCCTGGCAATCACTATTTACTTAGTACTACTGTCAGATCTAATCTACTAATTGTTCTAATTACAAGTACAGTCTTCTCAATTTCAATTTGTGCAACCCCATGGAAAGAGGATCCTACCTTGGGGAAAGAGAGTTGATCTTGACCTTCTGGTCCCACTGTTCTATGCATTCTGAATTCTTGTTGTATATGTGTTACTCCTGGTCAGGAAAAGCTGTCTGCCTGCTGCTGACTGAATCAATGCAAGCTATATGGCTTATTAAAAAAAGTTGGGGGGTGGATTAAAAAAGAGTGCAGTTTGGCTTGTAATGCTTTTCTGTCCTGAGAAATGCCTCTGCTCTACCTGGGCGGCAGAAAGTATGGATTACACAGTGGAAAACTCAGTTTGGAGCCTGCCTTGTGCTATATAGGAACATAGTTCCTTTTCTATAAAGCCCTTCCACAGAAATGTGAGTGACCACCACATCTCATTAGCAGAAATAGCAGCAGACACCCGTTTTTAGTCTAAGCCTTCTTTTTAGGACTGCACACAGTGGAAGGCACTGTAATTTGTTTTGGCCAGTCAGTCCCTTAAAGGCAAGTCCCCAGAGAGGCATGTTCTTCAGCCTCCGTTTATGCAAGTATTTCTATTTGCACTAACTGCAAGCTCTGTTTTGGGCAGATGTGGGGAAAAGGATCAGCTGACAGCTAAGGTTTTCATTTCCGTCATGCCGCAGTAGAGTTGCTGCCAGTGTAACCACAGCATCTTCTGCTAAACAAGCTCCCTCCTATGTAGCTGTGCTCATATTATTTAAATCACCTAGATCTTGACCTGCAGCACATCCAGAAAGATGAAGGGAGTGTATTATTCTTACATCTTTTCAAAAACATTGATACACCATGTCACATTTTCCTTCCCATATATTTTCTGGCTCACAGCAAGTTATGAGGACTCAATACAAAAGTTGACCAACAATGTTTCAATACAGAAAGTAAGAAATGAGGTTCATTGCATCTCTGAGCTATCTTTGGTCCCTTCTGCACTATGTCATCCTCCACCAACAACTTGAGGAAGTGATTATAGTAGCACCCTGTTAGAATGGCTCTTGTGAGCCTGATTCATAGGCTTGTGCGCAGAGATTTTTACTGAAGGCATCGGAGACAGCCCAATACCACACTTTTTATTAAGACACCCTGAGATCAACCCAGTTATTTTCCTTCAGCCAGATATTTTGCACATCACATTGTAACAATCAGAGAAGCAGAAGAGACTATATGTGCACTCCTGACTCTTCTCTATTATGTGTTTTAATGTACATAAATTTTATCTCTTGCTTTCTCCTTCTATACTGAATACTTGGCCATATCACTTTTGTCAAAAATAACTTTGGTTGCAAAGTAAATGGCTACCAACCCAAAGCCAGTAGCAGATGCCATGTAAGTGGTGACAGACTGTGTGAATTGAACCAGCGAACCCATAAGAAGGGATGGGATAACCTGGGAAAGAAGAAAAGCACTGTCCAAGATGGCCAGATCGGAACAGATGCCTCGGCTTGCAGTTGCAGTGTCTGAATCTCCCACCATCATCATGAGTGAGACTTCACATGGTGAGCTGACACAGAGAGAAGAGCCAGCAACAGGGGGAGAGTACAGGCTTCCACCATGTCCATTCTGGTAGGCCAACTTCTGAGTAGAAAGGTGGTTTTTGAGGAAACCAAGTTTCTTTTCTGATTGAGCTGCATCCTCTTTACTTTTATATTTAGGCAAATATATCTGAAAGCACAAGAAAATAAAAGATAAGATGTTAGAAGACAATTCAGCAAAGGCATAGGAACCACAAAATAAAACATGAAATAAATGATTAGCTGGAGCAGAGAAAAGTGGGGATGAAAACTTTTAAATATAGATCAACAGAACAAGGATAGCTGTTTTCTAGAAATCAAAGTTATCATTCTAGCTATTTCACATGAATTGAGAGTTCATTAAAAAAAGAACTCAAGGCAGCTTGGTATTGTTTACCATTTAAGTTTATATAATGTCAGCCTGGTCAAAGTTCTTTATCCAACACAGAACAGTCAGGAACTGATTCCAAAAAGATGGCAGTCCTATAAGCACAGTACGATTCAAGGGCATGCATGAAATGCAACCGACTTACACGGCTTGCGCACTGGAAGCTTCAGACAGAGTTAGTCTTGCTGGCTCTCACAACACTGGAATGGCAGCTGTTATGGAGAAACTCACTTCAGAAGAAAGAAGCAAAAAGACAGAGGAAGCAGACATAAAGGATTGACAAGAGGCAAAGAAAAAAAGAGGAGGCTTAGGTAGAACTATCACTCTACAAGGGTCTACAAAGATACAGTATTCACTCAGCAGTCATGCAATTAAAGTGAGGTAACGGGGAACATCTGCTTTGGGCATGACCTGATTGGGATGCAAAACTGGCAAAGGGAAGTAATATAGTGACAGTTTTGAATAACACGTTAACAACAGAAGTTTGTTTAAGGGTTTGGTCAGGGCAGCAGTACCACTGGTTCTCTGAAGATTTGACTAAACACGCTAATTAACATGCCTATTTGTTAACTGCATATAATTGTTGCTTTAAAAACCATTTGTAGAGTTCTAGGCCATACAAACCATGGCTAAGGAAATCCAGGACTCCCATCCCACTACATAAATACATCGGCTATCATGAAATTACGCTGCATAACGACTGCCGTGGAGTTTGCATTGGGGTCAGACTTACTGATTATGGTACTGATAATTACATATCCACAAAGGCCATTACTGAAATTCCAACCCACAGGACCTCTAGAAAATCAGGGAGTTTGTACTATCGGAATTTCTGGTGGTAATTTTCTATTAGGTTAGCTGAAGTTATTTACTCTTTCTTAGCTGTTTTGCTCTGTGATGTAGGTTTTAAGATTCATGGCTAGGCTGCTCTGGGATACCATGTCCAGGAAAATCCATTGCTTATTAAAAATGTCTACATATGGGGAAACAAGTCAAGTCAAGATACTGTAGTACTTTATATAGACAACAGCTTTATATGACAATGGGCAAGAATCAATAAAGCAGGGATCAAGTGAGGTACTGCTGACTGAATCTTATGCCACAATAAGCAAGTTTAGTCCTAGGCTGCCTTCAGCTGGATAGCTGGGAATATTAGCAATCAAAATACTATGCAACCATTCTGTCTTCTTAACAGAATGACAGGAGAGTCATATCCAGAAGATGACATTTTCCAGATCTCCCATAAGATTCTACGAATTCATCAGGAAAATTACACAAGAGCCTTCTCTGGAACCATTCTTATGTGCACTGAATAGAGTCTTGTTGAGGGCAAAGAAAATACATCGGTGCTACTTCCTATATGTGCTAGTTTCTGCTTTCATACAAGGTAGCCATGGGAAAAGGTGTACGTGTGCCAAACGTGGTAGTTTTGTTCATCAAACACATTTTAAAATTACATCCATTTGTTCCACACTCTCAGCCATTTCAGGCTATTTTCCCCACCTGTTTTTCGTGATGATAAAGCGATGCAAGTGTGTATGGAAGGATCTGAAGCACTGAGAAGGGAAAGCCAGTCAAGGCAGCAGAAACAGTGACAATGACAACACTTTGAGAGAAGCACATGATGAAGGCTGTCAATGGAAATAAGGCCACGCTAGCTAAGTAGACCATTCGTGTCCCAAACTGTTTCACCATCCGATCCATGATTGTTGAGAAGAAAATGGAGATGATGCACTGGAGAAAGAGGCCCAGGCTACCCATCCGAATTCCTGTGAACAAAGATATAGACAGTGAAATAGGGTAGAATCAATGGACAGGTTAGCTAGAAAAAAGTCAAATTTCATAAAGCCAACTACCGTTAGTCATCTGGACAAGAACGTTCTACATTACCTGTTCCAAAACAGTTGATCAAATTAAAAGACCAACAGGAGGAAAGTATTAAATGTGTTTATTCTGAAAACACCTGGATATGTCAGAAGGGCAAAAGCTATCCTCAGATGCCTTGCATAGAGTAACACAACCCTCAAATATACCTCAGTTTTAAATACTCTCAGAACATTGCCCAACTATTAATATGAGAAGTTAACTGTGGCCAAGATGTTGATTTGTATACCTGCAACTGACAAATGTTGCTCACATTTCATTTATACTGAAACTGATGTTTAAATCAGCGCCACATTTGAGTTTCTGGTGAATTTTTCTTCATGCATCTCTAAAAGACAATTATACATGGATCATGGGTCCAAGATGATGCAATTACTGAACAGCATTGTGTACACTTCATTAATAAATGTTAAATATTAGTTAAACTGAAACTGGGTCACCCAGACCTTGGAACAATATACTATACTGAAACAAAAGCAAGCTGGAGATCAAATGGCTTTAACATTCAAGAAAACCTACAGTCTGGGTTTTTCATGTTAAGAAAGAGATGAGAAAACAGGTCAGGTACAGATTTTATCCTCTTGCCACAAGAAGGGATCTGCACATTTGATTTAGTGCAGGACAAATATAAAAGTTTTTCACAAACTTAATTAACAAAAAGTAACTGCTCGCAGGCCATCATACATTAATCAATGAAGAAGAAATGTTAGATATTAAATTAAGCAACAGTGGATGTATTTCCATAAAAGTATAAACTATAGGTTAATGTTATGTGCATGAATAGGAATGGACATGCTCCCTCTTTCTCCCTCTCTTCATTCAACATTTTCCTTCCTCCAACAGGAAGAAAAATAACTCAGACTTCAATTTTGCATAAGAAAATTATTCTTTGTTACATGTCAACCAGGAATTATTATTTAAAATTTAAGGTGGTTATATACTTGAGAGTCCTTGATAAATTATTAAGCAGCCAACAATTTTTTAAAGGCATGATTCACATGCTTTAAGCCATGACTATGTTCAGTGAGAAGAAAGGTAGACCAGTGAATTTGGGTTTTGTGCAGTTCTTTCCTTCCAGTGCATGTAGCACTAAACCACTGTTCAGTATGTTAACGCAACTACTGACTGGATCCATTTTAATCCTAATAAGAACTCAGCCAACATGCTTCTAATTTGCTTTTTAAGCTATTGCTAAACAAACCAATATATGAACTTGGCCCTTAAGTTGCATATGGCTAAAATGGTGCCCACATTAGTTCTATTTTATATATTCACTATTAGGAATTTGTCCCTAGTATTCATAGAGGGTATTTATTTATGAAATGTGTGTCCCTCCCTGTTGCTAAAAATAAACCTTAAAATGGCCCACTATAATAAAATATGGAATTATATTTAAATAATAAATTAAAAACAATTACAATCACAATTTACAACAATCACCAGCAATGAACAGTATCTAACTCTGCTTCAGCAAATTTATCAGCTTAAAAAGCCAAAGGCTTCTGAATACAAATGTCTTTGCCCGGAGCAGCTAACACTGGCAGTATGTTCTCGGGCATGAGAGTAACCACCGGATAGCCTTCACATCTACCTCCAATAGTGACAGACAGACAAGGGCCATTCTTAAGGATCTTAAGGATCATCTGATTATCTGATCATTCAAATAGTCTGTTGCTATGTTATACTGGGGCTTTATATGTAAAAACCAGAATTCTGAATTGTGTTCTGAAGCAAACTGACTGCTGGCAAAAGGCACTAGTATATATTCCCTGCAGTCTGCCCTGGTTAGTAGTTATCTCCAGTATGATGAACCAGTGGAAGTTCAGAACTCTTTTCAAAATCAGCCTTATAAAGCACATTATTCTACAGTAAAATTCAGATTTGTAAGATGGCTGGACTTCTAAAAATAATATTTATTTTGGATGTTTGGGAGAAAAATAGGATTCCTTTATAGTGTAGTGACAATGTTCAAGTTTGAAAATTATAATAATATCAAGGCAATTTAATGAATACACTGAATAAAACTGTAGATCTTATTCCCAGATCTAAAACCAGTACTATCATTAACTTGCCTCATTCCTCTTTCCTGCTACTACTTCTCAAAGAAGCCCAGGTTCAAGAAGGAAAAATTTATCACAAATGGCAAGGCAGCTTTACGCAAGTCTGCTTTGGTTGCATCAATTTTCAAAGGGTTTTTTTTTAAATGAAAATAAGTTTTCTAATTACATAATTTTAAAAACTTTCAGTGCTGAAATCTGCTTTGAGGGCATAAGCAAAAGGACTCTCGCTCACTTCATCATACCTTCATCATAGTTTCTCCTGGCCTCCGTCCCAGGCTTGGCCCTGGGAACCCCCTGGTATAGTCCTTCCCCAACAAAGTCTGTGTAGAACAGCATGAACGTCATGAGGGCCATCCAGCTGCAGAGTTCCGCCACAAAAAGCTTTCGGATTACCTTGGGAATACGACAGCACACTCCATGTATGCGTGGGGCCAAGGCACAAAGATTCTTAAAGGCCTGGACCAGATGCCTGGCCCTCAAAAAGTTCTTTGGAAGCCAGAAAGAACAGCAGCCAAGTGACGGGGACTTGGAAGAACACTTCCCTGTAGGGCCTGAGTTGAGCTCTACCTGAGCGGATACCTCCTCTGTCACAAAGACAGTTGCTAAGACACATCCAAGGAAGATGATAGTGAGGAGGCTGAAGAGGCATTCCTCCTGATCCCCTAAGTAAGGAGCAAGGAAACTACTGTCCCAGTCAATAGCTGGGAGCAAGTACCCAACACAGCCTCCCAGGCTAACCATGAAAGAGTACACAGAGAAGGCCTGTCGGCAGCTGTCAGGCTCCTGGAACAGGTCAGAGAGAAGGGCCTCCAAAGGGGTGAAGCAGACCTGGCCACAGAAGTCAAGGAGGCCAACCCCCAGGATAAGGAAGGCCAGCTCCAGGGCACGGGCGTCCAAGGCAACAAGTCTGGCCAGACGGTGAGAATGTGGAATGATCAGAAGGCTCAGAAGAACGCCTAGGCACAGGACCCAGATGAAGGGCCTTCGCCGGCCATAGCTACTATGCCAGTGGTCGCTGGCAGAGCCAAGGAGTGGTACAAACACTAGGCCCAGAACTGGCCCAATCCCTAGAAAATAAGAAGGGAGGGGGAGAGAAACCATTATTTGAAGGGAAGGAATTAAATAGGACAGTAGCTGGAAACAAATGACCATAAAACAAAAGGTACAATGTCAGATAGTCCATCTCCAGGTCTCCAAAACCAAAGAGGAAGGCCAGACTTTCTAAGGAGAAATGAACAACTGCTAGGGGGTCTTTCACCTTTGAGCATCCCCTCCCCCATGTTTCCAAAATAGAGTGTGCGCATGCACACATGCCTTTAACAGATTAGAACAAGGATGAACAAATTAGCGACAGAAGGCACATTCAAAGTTAAGGAGAGCCATGATACAAAAGTAGGAAAGTTATCATGTATGATAGGGAGAATAGTCAGAGGAAAAATCTTGAAACATCTTTTAAAATGCAGAACTTCCCATCCCCCAGGACTTAAAAAAAATAATAATACAGGTTTGATTTTCGGCCAAATCCAGTGAGAAACTACACTGCCAAAATTTGGGGGGACAGCATATAGTCTGCAGGCTTTAGGTTGCCCATATCTGGATTAGATTATAAGGATAGCTGGTATCATATAGTTTAGTATAACATAGCAATTACATTATATTCTCTTATGTCCTAATCCATAATGTGCCACTTCATTTTACATACTCACATGCAACAACTATTATTTGCAGTTCATATATTGTACAACACTACTTCATATCATAACTGAGATATTGGCAACCTAAAGCCCTAAGGCCTTGATTGATGGACAGATAAACATGCACATACACACACACCCCACCTGTTGAAACTATGCAGCTCAAAGTCTATCAGATCTAGCATGGAGAATCTCCCAGCAAAGAAAAAAAGAAGCCACCTACCCAGAACCATTGTCATAAACTTCTCTTCCACTCCTACTTCCAACAAAAGGGGCGGCACGTATGTGACACCTGCAGCAAGGCAGACTTCCAAGCCAAAAGTTAGGGAGTTGATCAGCAAAAGCTGGGCTTTGCGATTCTGGAACACCATGTTGAGCCAGGCCCTCTGAGCCAGGCCACCCATGCACCTCATCATCCAAGGGTTGCCCCAGCCAACAGCATTCTCCTTAGGGGGATTCAGAGCAGGAGTTCAGAGTCCTGAGTTTTCTTTTGTAGCTGAATAGCAAAAGGTTGGTAGCCATGTTATAGCCAGCTGTGAAGATCCCAGTTTGTTGCCAACTGGTCAAAATGAAGACTCGTTCCGGGCTCAGGTGGCAAGATGAATAGTCTTAACTGTTTACTGTGCTTCACCTTCTCTGTGAGAATAGTGAAAATTAAAGATAATACACATCAACACTAAAATTCCTAGTCAAGACAGTTTCTAATAGCAATGAAACCTCCCCTACCACCCAGTGGCCCTGCAAATGAACCAGAGTTCCATTATTTGCAGGGAGCATGCAGGCCAGCTACTCCTTAAAACACCAACCCAACCCAAGATGTAAGTTAAAGTGGCAGCTTTATCATTCATAACTGAAAACAGTCCTACTGTGTTTAGCTAAATTAGGCTGGGGAAACCAAGGTTCCATGACTCCACATTGCCCCTGCATCCATTTTTCTCTGCCCACAACTGCCCCAAATACCATACCACCATCATTTGGCAACAGGAAACATACAAACTCAATTGGTGACTCTGTGGGTGACACAGTCACACTCTCTCAATCCAACCTTCCCCTCAGGATGGTTGCTGTGGGAAAAAATAAGAGGGCAGAGCGCTATGTATGCTGCCTTGAACTCATGTACAACAGGTAGGGTAGAAATCTAATGAATAATAAAAGGTGTAGTGAAAGCATCCATGTAAATTCTACCTACCCCAGAATTTGCACAGCCCTTCCTAAAACAATCACCAAATGATTACTCAGCCTTTGAGAGGATGTTAAGAATTGTGATTCAAACACTTAAGCTCTGACAACTTCATAGAACTAAAATCGCCAAGGCTCCTTAATTTGTAATAATAGTGCTTACAAACCTTTTCTTAATGTGTCTATTTATCTATTACAAATATATTCCAACAGCAGCAAATTTTATCATATGCTACATTAAAGTTGTACTTCATTAAATGAACAAGAAACAAAATGACAAATGGGATTCAATGGAAGTAAGCACAGAAATGATGCTATCTCACATGGAGATCTGAGCTAGTGGTAAGTAATCAGGAAAAAGATTAGTGTTTGGTTATGGAGAGAGCCACAACCAAACCAAAAAAATGGATGAATCATGATTATATCAATATCTTAATGCATCTAGACAACTGATGGCGTGGCTATAAGTTCATACATAAGTGCGACTCTAGTCATAGCTCAAAAAGAATAATGTAGAACCCTGCCAGAAAGGCCAATCAGAATGACTCCATGAAGGAATTTTATAGTGTTCAGCTCTCTGGGTTTTTCTCTTGTCTTGGAACAATAGAAAGTGGAAAAGATAATAAAGAGCATGAAATGCAATGTTTCTCAACCTTGGCAACTTTAAGATGTGTGGACTTCAACTTCAATTCTGAGAGTTGAAGTCCACACATCTTCAAGTTGCCAAGGTTGAGAAACATTGATGAAATGTATGATATATAAAGAAAATGGATCTTCTGATTATAGTGGAACTCAGTATAATGAAGTCAAACAGCAGGAGATTCAAGGCAGATGAGAAAGCAGAGGAAGGGTTTTAGATAATTGCAGAGTTAATCTACACAACTTGTAACAATGGGTGGTAGCTGGTAGGATAAATGGTTTGAAGGGGGGGGAATGAATTCTTGGAGGAAACATCTAGCAGAGACTACTGGGCATAATGACTACAGTACGTATCACCTCCAAGCTGAGAAGCAATATTTCATTATGCTTTTCATACCACCCCACTTATTACACCCCACTTAGGGCTTCTCAGAAGCTTCTAACTAGCAATTCTAGGATGGTAGCCTGGTTAACTGTTTCACCTGGTTCAGCAGAAATCTTACATTCTAAACTCACCTAACAATTATATTGTGGATCCAAGTAAAAGCACATAGACTTTGCACTCATAGGAACAGGGCTGGGAGCTTTAGATCTGCTAAAAAGAAACTTTGGGCTAGGAGCTGAGTATACAGCCAAGAGAGTAATGGGAAAATCATTAAGAAAAATTAACAATGATACTAACAAGTACAGTATATGAAGGAGGCAAACTTTTTGTGTTAATGTGTTATTCATAAAACAAGAAATAAATTCTAAACAGCTGTAGTGTAATGGTATATGGGAATGAGTTTGGGAGAAGGAGGAAGAGCAGCAGATTAGGCAATGGTCAGATAAGAGGCAGCTGAGCCAGTAGCAGGAATGGGGGCACAGCAAACATCTCAGAAGGGATCCTCCCTAGTTTCTTGGACTGTAAAGGTGAGGGGAGAAGAGATGTACTTGCAGACTTGCAAGATTCTGTTAATGTAACCTTACAATAACGATAGAGCTAGTACTCCTGGGTGTGCTTCTTGTCTGGACTGGTTCGCAAGGCTGACATATAGTTAACAATGATTAAATTGATGCCCAAGTTACTATCTTGATAACTTATTTGCCCCTCAGTATCTCCACTATCAGATTTTTCCTCAGATAATGTATTAGCAAAGGGAAGAAATTATATAAAACATTAAACAAATGAAAGCTTTGATCATACATTGTTCAATCTCTTTGAGTTGGAACACAAACAATTTACCTCTGGTAAACCATAGATTAACATGTAAACAAAACAGACCAGTAGATGGCTCTATTGCTTCCAAGACTTGCATTACTTTTATCATAGCAGTGAAAATATATTCCACCAATGTTCCTTTAACAAGGTTAATATGTGGTTTTCTTCACTGTGTGCAAACTGGAGGATAGTCATCTTTAATAAGAAGGCTAGGAAGAATTAAGTTTTCCATGATAAACAAATTCAATCCTTTATTATAGCCCCAAATCCAGTTTGCTATTACACCATCTCAAAAGTCCTCTGAATTATACTTAATCTATCAGTTTCCTAACCAGTATGTAAAAATAATGGATATTTACATTTGGGTCTCTTTTGTTTTAGCTGATTAGGTCTAACAGTTATTTGCTCATTCTGGACAGAAATTTAAAGTCAGCAACTACTTGAAGCCAAGAAATTCTAAGAACTCTAGATGGGCTTGCTAGTAAGCAAACATATGCTAGGTTAAAATAGATACAAAGATGAAGGGGCTTTTTCTCTACAATGAACTTCCCTTTTTTTTTCTTGAGAACTTATTTCTGCTGTGGCATACCCAGTCATCAAAAAAGGCATTGTGCAAAACTTCCCACTGATAATAATCCTAAAATTTACCATAACCCAAATCACAGTATTTTCCAGGCAATGTTTCTTAAAAAGAGGTAGGACCAAATTATTAACGTTTTTTTAAAAAATCAGGATTTTGAAAACAATGTATGGTAAACATTCCTGGAAAACATACTTGCAGTTTCCAATTTTAAAATATTCACACATGCACAGACTGCCCTACCTGCATTTGTAAAGAGTTATCCCTGTCATTGCATCTTTTTCCCTATAACGTTAACATCTTTATATAAATTAGCTTATCAAGACAGGAAGTGATGCCAGATCTGCCACTATAAATGAATTGTTTTTTCCAGTTATCAAGACAAATTATTACATTTACGTAATTCACAAATTCCATGCTTCTGTAATATCTGAGATCCAAGTAAGTACAGAAGGCTAACTCAGGGGAAGCCATTTTTCTTTCACTTAACTGCCTGAAATTTATGTAACTTAAGAGAAAGCTTGATCAGTCTTTCCCAAAAAAGCAATTATGGTCTTAAGGAGGAGCTACTCAGCACAAGAGTTGAGAAGTTCATGGGGCCATCATCTTCATTTTCTACATAACTGATACAGATATTTACATGCCTGACAATTCATTCATCCCACACCCATCATCTTGGTTTTAGAATATATAGCCAACTGCATTGCTTCAGCATACTTAGAAACAGGCCATAAAAGATACAAGGAGAAAGATGTGAAAACTCTGTGTAGCAGCACCAAAGGAAATTAGTATGTGCCAGTTTGAGGATAGAGGCCACGTAAAATCCCCCTTATCTCCTAATATTACACACCACAGATCCCACTGGTTTGTTTTATTTCAACATGTACGGAAAGATATTCATATTGCTGCCTTCTAAGGGGAAAGGGAAGAGGTGAAATGGGAACAGATATTGAAGAAACATCTCCAGATGAACAAGCTTTCCTAGCTTTAAATATAGGCTTCTTAGATTAATAAAATAATAATTCTGAGTTAATTGAAAGGAACACATTTGGCAAGTTAGGAAACAGCTACATTGGGGAAGCTAAAGTCAATCATATGCAACTATTTTTCACATGTTAGATTTCTGCAGCAATAGCCACTCTTCAGCTTCCACACTGATATGTAGAAAAAGTATATCAGTATAATCTAAATGATTGGATGGAACTTTGCTTATATGCTCACAGAGGAAGGAAAGGGAGAAACAACTAAAATGTGTTTTAGATTCATCTCCAGGAGAACCATATAGGACTGATGAAAGTATCTGTATTGTTATGAAGATTATGTGCAAAAGTGAAAAGTTTGTGTGTCATGCTTCTAGTTGTTTGCTTTTTCATTATTTTTAATCTAATGTTAATCTACTTTTTATCTTTGTGACAGAGATATATAAAAGCCTGGTCTGAACTATTCATCCATATAGAAGAGCGAACTGGAAATATATTTACTGTGCACATTAATTTATGCACTGATGATAACTATAAAGTTGCTGCTGAACTGCTAGAAGAATTATTATTTAGACGCAAGGCTAACGAAAAACTAATACACCATTTTAAAACCGGTTAGAGTAAAACCTTCCTTGGGATATAAACCTGCCCTAAAGCCATGAAACTCAAATACAGTAAGGGCTCTTGAGGCATTTTGAAAATACAAACTGAAACACATTTATTTAGATAGAAAGCAACACTGGCCATAGCACACTGTTCTACCACAGCATCAGTTAGCAGAATTAGGTATTCTTGATGCCACTATGCTAAGAATCTTCTGTGGTAAGCGGGGCAAAATTAGGTTAACTTCTTGGCCCTTAGAAATGGCAATTTCAGAATGTTCACAAATATAATACCTATTTAGCTTTCATGCTAGACATCAGGGAAATCAAAACCTTGGATTCTCTTTTCACTCCTATGCAAACCTAAATTCATGCTCTGCATTAACTCACTTCAGAAGCAAGGAGCTGTTCAGCAAAACCTAAAGCAATTTCTGGTTAGTCATATAATTCTTCTCTTCTGCTGGAGTTGATGAAAGGTGTTATTTCCAGTAAGTTTCTAATTGCAGCTTTCATTCAGCAACCTGGAAGGGTCAGAGAGAAATCAGAACTATTCTGGAAAGCAAGAGGAGAAAACAGTGTAAATTTGAAACTGTCCTTCACCAGCCATCCAAAACATTTGCAGGGTCTCCACTTATTCCAAATGCTAAGAGTCAGCTCACCTGATTATTTGCTAAAGCTGGAAGCCAACAGGCTAAGAAGTTCAAGCACACTGGTTTCTTCTTCCCTTCCTCCTAAAGACAAAGCTGCTTCAGCAGAGTAAGCCTGGACCGGCATGGGGAGTACACCAAGGAGGAGGTGGGGCCAAGATCACACACCCACCCCTCTGCTCTCATATCCTATTGGTTTGAGAGCCCTCCCTGCTGTTATTTTGCCTCTTCCTTTTTTCCCTTCCATTCCCCCCTCTCCAAGTATTTGCACTGCAAAACTATTGTATAATTTACAGTGAGTTGAGAGTTCCAGTTACAATGCACAACCTGCTCCTTTGTCTGGGGGGAGAAAAAAAAAAGTCACAGAGCAGCGAATAGTCAATCCTTTTTTGAAAACCTCCAAAGAGCTCAGGTTGTCAATTTCTAGGATGACATGACTGTTGAACTATTATCAGTAGGACTGGTGCATTCCCATTTCTGCCTTTTGCAGCAAGCAGCATCCCTGCTCCAAAA